TGTTGTCATAGAGAAGGGTACACTCCTCTTTGAGTAAAAGAACACCGAGATGTAGACTGGTTTCTTATTGGGGGGGTTTCGGTTTTCGAGAGGGGGGGGGGGGGGGGGGGGGGGGGGGGGGGGCAGCCTGTGGTGAGGATGGAAATGGCATCAATTAATCAGGTAGCAAATCCTACCATCATACAACTTGTAAATGTATAATCCTAAACCATGATGCTGTCCAAAGCCCGTCTCTTTGTCTCACCTCATGATGACCCGCTATTAAAAAACAACAACCAGGAAGAGCATTTCTGTGGAAACAGATCAGCTCTTCAGTGGATCGGATCAGCTCCCGGACCGCAATGAGCCCCCTCCTGTTTTTACTGCACCCAGTAAATAAAGCTTTATTTGCTCACAATGTCTCCATCCTTTATGCCTTTCTGATAATCGTGCACAGAGATGTTGTTTGTCCCCTTTCCATGCTGAGGCGGATGATGTGGAGAGAAAAGAGCGCGGTCATTAGTGATGCTGGGAGAAGGGGGGGTGGAAAGGGAAGGCCATGTTTCTCTTACCTCAACGCTGAACTGATGATGCTCCTCTCCGGACACGGAAATCCAAAGCAGAAGATGCAAGCAGAACGCTGCCGCGTAAAAACAATCCGGTGCTTTTCTTTTACTGGCGGATACTAAGGTCATAATGACCCGTTTTTATGATGATTTGTTCGTTATTCCCCGAGTGTTTGTTAGGAGAAGCCGCCCGTCTGCTTCATGTCAGATGGAAACCATCGCGCGAGCTGTCGAGGCAGATTCCGGTGATGCGCTTTTGTTTAGAAAAATCCCGACGATGATGATGGCGTTCAAAAAAAAAAAAAAAAAAAAAGAAAGAAAGAAAAAGAACAGATCTGATGTCAAGCGTTGAGAACGCGACATGTTAGATCCACTGCCCTCGCCATTCTTGTTTCCACCAGGGGCTACATGTATCCAGCGGTATCAGTGGCCATGTACAGTAGGTACCCAGTCTGCGCAAAGACGGGCTCCCTCCCCGCTCCACGCGTGCGCTTTGATTTCTCACACGGCGCAGCGGCAGCATCATGAGCGCACAGCTGCCCCACAGAGGAGCGCAAAGAGAGGGAGGCACAACCCTGCACGAATACCTCACATAAAAATAAAAAATAAAAAAATGCATTCACGAGTTTAAATTAAAGTAAGAGTTGTACATGACTCTCAGTGACTACCACCCAAAATTGTAGCTCAATATTTGAAAAACTGACTGACTTCTAACCGGATTTGTGTTGGGTAATGTTGATTAATTGTTGCAACCGTCTTGAATTGTGCTGGCTCCAAATGGTAACCAGTTATAGATGTACATCCAGTGGTTGATTGCGGAAAATTTGGTTAAAATACGCCCAGTGGTTCATGAGATATTTTGCTAACAGACAAACAGGATTGAGTCCACTTGTTAATGCTCAGTTTTAATGCAAGTATTCCGTGCAACGAGTAGCAATTAATGTGTTGGGAATGACTCTCAGCTACTACCACATCAAATTTAAGTTCAGAATCTCTAAAATTGGCCTAATCAGAGCCATTTCTGTGTTTCTTAAGATCAGTTGGCTTTGTCGGCCATCTTGAAATGGGTCGGCCCTAAAAGGTCATCAGGTTTACATGGACATCCATTGATTATTTCCTGAAAATTTCAGCAATATTCGTCCAGAGACTCGTGAGTTATTTTGTTAACAGGTAAAACTGATCCCACGGACTTAATGGCAAAAATGTAAACATGTAAATTGAACAATCTTTGAGCGCTCAGAACATGTGGTGGGATCAGTCTCAGCTACAACCACACCTTTGGTCCATTATCTTTAACATTTATCAAGTTATAGCAAATTTGTGAGGATTTTTTACCCGCTTCGCCCTTCTGAAGTTCAGATTACTAAAGAAGCAAAATATGCTCAATAGCTCAACTTAGGTTTTTTTTTTTTTTATCTTGATTTTTTTTTCACAATTCCACCCCCACCTTTTCAAAGCATGTTTAATTTTTCCAGTTTTTAAAAATAACGATTTTCCTGCTATGAGCAATATAAGCCACCAGATGGCAGTGTTTCATTTTATTCTTCACCCAGGAAATAAGGCAGGACAAAGTGGGACCTCAGTTCACTCCAGATAAACTCAAAATGAGCAGAGAAGATGGTTTTCATTAGATATGACAGGCAGAAAATCTGTGAGCTTTACCACACAAAAGAGTATTTTAAGCAAGCTCGAGTTACAATAAATAAATAAATACAAACTAACAATGGAAGTTAAGTCTAGACTAATATGTTTTCTGTGAAAATGAAGTGAGGACAAACCTCTGGTTGGTGCGACAGATCAAAAAAGCTGAAACTGAGTTGTTACAGCTAAAAAATGCAAAACGCTTAAAGCCAATGAAATCAAAACAATAGCCAAAAGCCAATATTCTAGCAAAAGCTAAAAGTAGCAAAAGGCTATGTGTAGTTAAAACCTTAAATTAACAAGACGCTCACTAAAAGTGAATGGCAAATAAAACCAAAAAGTAACACACACAAAAAAAGATGAAAATAAAACAATTTAGCTGAAATAGGTTTCAGATGACAACATTTGTGAAGGAATTTGAGATTTCCGTTTGTTTCTATAGGGAAAAAAATGTAAATAAAGTTAAATAAAATGAACAAAAGTTACAAAAACTAACACTCATCTATTGAATGAGAGGAACGTTTTGATATAAAAGTGGCTAAAAACCCCACAAAGGATGCAGAAGTTAGATTTTCTAAAATGTGTGGAAAAATGGGTTGTTACAACCAGGAAAACAGCAGAATTTGGCCCAGTTCTTGCATTTTTGAGCTTTTACAGGCCTTGAGGGGGGATCAAGACAACTGGTTTGCATTTAGGCTTGAATCCATCCCTTTTCCCAATTGGTCAGTGGTAACAAAAATAAAACATCTGTATCACGGCTCCAATGAGACGGCCTGCATCACAGCCACAGTTCCAGTCATTCGTTCACTTTTCTAACAGAAATGGAGCTGAGTCAAGCAGTTCTATCTCTCTCTTGGCTGAGTCCAAACGTGGCTCTGCCCACTTTAGTCAACCTCCAGGTTCCCGTCCATTCATGCCTGTGAATGACTCACAACGCCCTGTGGCCGTGTTCGGTCCAATCTCTGATTCGGAAGGATTTAACAGAATGAGCAGCTGCTTGAAGAAGTTTTTTTTTTTTATTTAATTTAATAAAAACACTAGTCACAACCTGCACTAATCAAACTAATCAACAATAAAAATGTACATTTAATGAGATGATTAAACAACTTTGTATTCTTCTCATGACAACATTTAAAATACAGTTTTAATATAATTACTAATTAAACAGGCATTCATTTAATAAATTTAGAATTAGAAATTTTGCATTTAAAACACTCCTAAAACATTGATTTTTGTCTTGCTTTAGATCTGGTATTATAGTGAACGCCTCTCTGGCTTTAACACTTTAAGCAATCTATTTATTATTTTATTCTCCGTATTCTCAGTCTGAGATCTTAAAGCTTGATGACCTTCAGGTTAACCTTTAAACTATTATCGACATTACTCATAATCGAGAACGAGCTGTTCTGCCGTGAAACAGGAAGTGACAGATTGACAAGTTGAAAATAAAAAAGGATCCCTATCAGATTAAAACAAGCTCATTCATTTACGCTCAGGTGTTTACTGTGTAACGGGTTGGGATGCCATGGAGACTGCATGCTCTGGCAGGAGAACATGGCTTAGAGCCAAAGAGGGCCCTGCTCAGGATAAATGAAAAACTGGGAAATATGACCATGCATGACAAAACTAAAGGTCTGCATCACTAAAACAAATGTCACATTCTACTATTTGCATTTATCTGATTTTAGCTGCAGGAGGATTACCTGCAGGCGGGCAGATGGTGAGAAAGGAGGTAAAGTTGCTGGCTTTTCCTAATTAAAGTTAATTAATAGATGCCTGACAGTTTGCAGTGAGCGCCCGAGGCTTTTAAACCATCCCGCTGAAAACAGCATTCAGACTGCTCTTATTATGAACGTTGTTCTGGAGTCGCTCAAACCAGATAGAAATCTAATCTGACCGCTGCGACAAGAGCTTGAAATACTGCCGAGAGATGTCTGAAATCATGCAGTTTATATAAAGATAAATCTGTCCAGGAAAAAGGTTTCAGCAACTCAGCAATATTTCCTGACACAAAATAAATAAATAAATGGAACATTTTAAACATTTCTGCTTGTTAGTTTTAAGGGTAATCCTCCATCCATTAATGTACTGCAGTTATTTCGCCTTCTGTTTGTCTTTTATGTGATTAGATTTTTGAAATGGAATAGATTTGATTTTGTGTCATACTTGTGTTTCATGTTTTGCAGGAAACAATGTGCCCGTTTTGTTCTGCAACTCGAGCATTTATCTCTAGTGTCCTAATTCAGCACATCAAATAAAGACATTTACACCAGATCTGATTTATTTAAAGATTTATTTTAGCTAAGTTCATTATTTTGTAATAAAATTGTTCAAACAAACAAACAAAAAAATATGTACTGTAAATCAACAGATTTGAGCCTAAAACAACAGTTTTTTTTATGTTTTATGTTTTACAACCACTGTTTATGATTTATTTTTTGAACAGTATGTTATTTTAGTATTTTTATAAAGAACTTGTTTTGATACTGTACAATCTGAGGCTGGATAACTTTGACTTTTTTGCAACAGAAACGCCATAAGCGTCATAGAAGAGGTACTTTGTCCTACAGTTCATATTAGGAGAGCCCATATGACTAATGCCTAAAATGTTAACATATATTTGCAATAATCAAACAAAACATCTACATTTAAATTGTATAAGTGTCAATAGATAAAAAAATTCCTTTCAACCCAACAGCTGATGTTCTTCCTCTCTGCTTCTTCAGCAACATCTCAGCTCCATCGTAAACAAGAACATGGGCGAGGGGTGGCTGCAGCGGCGATGGTGCTTCATACGTTTTCCCCTGCATGCTTTGACAAATACCGGGAGGTTGCTGGTTCCAGCCGAGTCCCGTCATGCACCTCAGATAGCAGATCTGTGGGATAACAAGTTGTCTCACCTCCCACGGCTGCATAACTGTTCTGCCACACTGAAGCACTTAATGAGAGTCCTTGTATAAATATTACCCAGAGGGATGTTAACAGAAGGAGTGTCATATACATGCCTGGCCCTAATTGTTATTGTAAAAGGACTGGAAATATGAGCTGTGGTAATGCCACCCATTTATAATGCTACAGATTATCCACAGATACAAACAGAGCTCATTAAAAGTAAAAATGGTGGAAAAAAAAGAGTATTTCACGATGGGACAGATTTATTTTCTTAGCCAAAAGCTGTCATCTCTCATCTTGCTAATTAAACGTTGTCCCCTCTACCTTTCTACATTCTTTACTTTGTTTCTTCATTTCACTTTATTCTGAATCCTCAGTCGTTAGGTCATTATTCTGTTTGTTTCGTTTGGACCAGCAGTACAGAGAGAACAGATTCTTGTACCAGACATGAACATAGGCACACTAAAAACTGAAACGACAAACAAGATATTCTTCTTCGAGAAAGATTTTATACATTGACATTGAATATCACCCGCCACTAAAAGCAAAACAATGTTTCTGCCTGTGTCAGTGTTTGAGGCTCTATAGCGTTAGCAAAATATCTCATGAACCACTGGACAGATTTTAAATGAACTTTCAGAGAGTCATCCCTGGAAGCACATCAACTGATTGTCTTACACAGTCAACCCATTTCAAGATGGCTGCCACAGCTAATCGATCTTAGCCAACACAAAACTGTCTGTAAATGTCAGTTTTACAGATAATGAGCTACAGTATGTCTGGCAGTAGCTGAGAATCATCAACACCGACTACAAGTGTTAACATTTAACATGGGATTTCACAATTTCACATGAAATTGCATCATGTACAAGGTTTTACCAGAACAGCAACAACTACATTGCTTCTCATCATTAAGATGATTTTAGTTGGAACTTGTGGCATGAAACCAAGTGGACGGTATGCATTCCTTTAATTTATTGTGTTTCTCAGGTCCTCTATGGTTTGATGAGCTCCCATTGTATCAGTTGGAGGACAAACTTTGTTTTATGTCATTCAAACCAGGGTTTAATTTGTAAACAGATTGATGCTGTAACACAAATAGTGGGCGGGTCTATGAGGGATGGGGGGTCTTGGGGGTCCTCACCCAGAAAATTTTGAATAAAGTAGATGCAATATAAGTAAGTAAGTAAATTTTTTTTCATATAACACCTTTTTGGGGTTCCGCTCCCAGAAAATTTTGAATAAAATAGATGCAATATAAGTAAGTAAGTAAGTAAGTAAGTAAGTAAGTAGCAGCAGCAGCGCACGGTGGTACAACTGGTAGAGCTGCTGCCTCTCAGCGAGCAAGTCCTTAGTTCAAACCCCGGTCTGGGGACCTTTCTGGGTGGAGTTTGCATGTTCTCTTCGTGCATGCGTGGGTTTTCTCCAGGTGCTCCGGTTTCCTCCCACAGACCAAAAACATGCATGTTAGGCTGATTGGTAAATCTAAATTGTCCCTAGGTGTGAGTGAGAGAGTGAATGGTTGTTTGTCTCGTTTGTCTCTGTGTGTCCCTGTGATGGACTTGCGACCCGTCCAGGGTGTACCCCGCCCCTCACACAGTGATTGCTGGACATGGGCACCAGCGACCCCCATGACCCAAAATGGAATAAGCGGGTAAAGATAATGGATGGATGAAGTAAGTAAGTACATTTTATTTTATATAGAACCTTTTACAGGGCAGAAACCACAAAGCACTTTACAGAATACAAGACATAAAAACACAAGATAAAAGATAAAAACAAAAGATAAACGATAAAACAACATGCGTATGACATGACAAAATAAAACTAATTAAAAGCCAATCTGAACAAATGTGTCTTCAGCTGCGTTTTAAAAGTATTAAGAGAATCAAGGCAGCACGAAGTCAGAGCGAATGCCTTCCACAGTCTGGGGGCCACAGCCCTAAAAGTTTTATCCCCTCTGGTCTTAAAATGAGTCCATGGGACCATTAACAGCCTTTGACTGGAAGATCTGAGGCTCCGAGAAGAGGAATATCCTGCATTTTGATGTATTTTAACAGGTTGTTAAACATCTACGTTTACCTACATTTGTAAACTCTCCACTTCTGCCTGAACCGTCAAGTTCAGATCTGGATGGAACCTCCAGCCTGAGGCTGCCTGTGAGCCCCTGCCAACATACGGCTGTCTGGTTAGCTCGGTACTCACCCCAACCACTTGTTTAGGCTCAGAGATTTTTTTTAAGTGTAGACGCGGAAATGCTACTAGAAGAGGCAGATCATATTCGGTTGTGTTTAAAATTAGTAAGTACTTATTTTCAGTTTACATATCCAATAAGAGTTTCATTCCTTCATTGTTCATAACTTTATTGTTAGCAAATCTGAGAGTTACCAGATCTAAGCTGGATCCTAACAAAAAATTATCGGAATGCTTCCTGTCAAAATAAGAGTGTTTCTGGATCCTGTTCCAGCAGGATCCAGCTCAAATTAAGCCCTGATTCAAACCAAACCCTGAACCAAAATCAAAACAATGACCAAGAAGTGAGACCTAAAGTATGTTTTCACAAAAATGATCAAAGCAATATTTAGTTTTGATGATCCATTATAGTTTTTGAAAACTTCGTACAAATTTTGGATTTTTGACCAAGTTCCTTCAGTTAACGATTCAGTTCCTCTGTTATAATGTTACACGTTTATCTGTTTGGCAATGACAGCAGGCAAAACCAGTGGTGGGTACAGCTAACCAACAATTTAGCATTGCTAAAGCATATTACGCTAACTAAAAAGAATTACCTTAACTAACGTTAAATCGCTAAACTTGTGGACCTTAAAATTGTAGACGCTGATGCTAAACCGCTAACTTCTAAGGCAGCTGTTACTCAGTCTGTGCCACATGTCTTCGTCTCCTTCCAGTTGAAGCTGCATCATCCAATCATGTCTTGCCACATGTACACATAAGCCAATAGGGTGCCTAACGGACTCTTTTAGACTCGCCCACATCTGACAGGAACAAGCATGGGGTTTTTGTTAGCATACTTAAAAGTTGACCAAAACCTAATGTAGTGGAAGCTAATTCAGCTAACGGTTTCCAAAGTTAGCAAAAACACTAATCTGCTAATAATAATTTTTCTTTTGTTCCGCTATTAGATGTTAGCGGATTAGTGGAACTGTTCCCACTACTGGTTAAAACACTCAAAATGACAGTTGCATCACATCCACAACATAGAAAAATGCTCTCACGGCCTCGTCTGAAACCTTAGCCTCACATTAGGCAATGTCTTCTCAAAGAGTATGGCCCTAATTTCACTCAGCACAACTCCCTTCCTCCAGCAGTACGACCAAAGACGATTTGCAGTGCCATTAGGCAGCCATAATGAAATAAACACCAGGCTGAGAAATTATTTCTTTCCCTTCTGTCCCCACAGAGTCTGATAAGCATACGACAACAACAAACACATTTTGGTGTCCAGTTAGATTTTGATCCTATAGGCTGAGAAATTGTCAGTGAATATACAGATTGGTGTCATTTATGCACAGATAAGAGAAAACATATTAAAGGAAACTGATCATAAGATGCCACAACTAGAAGCTGACTCTACAAGTTTGTGGAAATTCAGTCAAGTTTGTCTTCATCCTGCATGAAAAAAAAAATAATAAAAAAAATAAAAATGTAGTATGCTTTTTTATAACTGTTTATTGTTGTTGCTGTTGTCCATTGTTGTCATCTTTCTTTGTTGAAATCAGGTCTCTCTTGTAAATGAGTCCTCGAGGCTCAATGGGATTTACCTGTATAAATAAAGGTTGATTGATGAGTCATCATTGTTAGGTACTAACTACAGAGATCCTAGTTTCTGCAGACATGATAAGTGACCAAAGCTAACAAGTGGACGTGTATCCCTGATTCAACCACTGCATTTTGAGTTGCTTCATTTTAGTCACAAATTTGCTTATTTTTTTAATGATTTCTTGTTACTAAATGAAGTAGAAAAATTGTAATGACCTGTAGACACTGGAAAAAGGATCAAACCTCTAAATCTTGGGTTGTGAGGGCAGAAGCTTGAGCAAGGAGGCACAGGCGTTTCTTTCCACAGCCACCTCTTCCAGCTCTTCTGGGAAGGTTTCATTAATTTGTGCATTTTTCTAAAAGGACAGTGCACATTAATAAATGTTCCAAGAATATAAATGTGCTGGATTTAGCACCACAGCTAAATGCCATGTTTAAGGCGCTCTAAGTACAACAGAGTGACAGTCACTCTAACATGTCCTGGATCTTCAGGGTCTTTTCTGAAGTGGACATGCCAGGAAAATCTCCCTTGAGAAATGTCCATCAGGCCTCTGTATCAGATGCCCAAACCACTTTAACCTCTTGATGTGGAGGAGCAGCTCTACTCAGTCTCCCCCGGAGAACTGAACTTCTCACCCTTTCTCTAATGAAGAGTCCACCCTGTGGAGAAAATTCATTTTGACCGCTCGTATCTGCGTTCTCGTTCTTTCTGTCACTACCCAAAATTCATGACTGAGGGTAGGAACGCAGCCTGACCACTGAACCGAGAGCTACACCTAGCAGTTCAGCTCCCTTTTCACCACAACGGACCGGCACAGTGTCCACAGTACAGAAGCTGCACCAATTTGTCTGTCCATCTGACGCTCCATTCCGCCCTCACTTGTGAACAAAACTCTGAGATACTTAAACTCCTCCACATGAGACATCATCTTACTCCCAAGCCAAATTGGGCAATCCCCCCTTTTCCGACTGAGGACAATGGCCTCAGATTTGAAGGTGCTGATCCTCATCCCAGACGTTTCACACTTGGCTGCAAAACACTCGAGAGCTGGAGATCATGGCACAATGATGCCAAAAGGACCAAATCATCTGCAAATAACAGAAACTGAATCCTGAAGCCAATGAATGAGACTCACTCTGTTCCCCGGCTGCACCAAGAAATCCTGTCCATAAAAGTTATGAACAGAATCAATGGGCGGCCCTGTTGGAGCCCAACTCTAAATATGTCTTTTTTACTAATGTTGAGCTAAAACTCAGTGTGGTTGGAGCTGAGAGTCATCCACAGCACAAACTCTGAGCACGATGACATCTCGTGAGATCTCACATCACACAACACAAGATCATGCATATAACTTAAAGGTTCCTTCGCCAAATAAGAGGACCATTTGATTTAAATCTTGAAAGGTGGTGTGTGATATCCATGCAGAATGGCCTTTAATTAACATAATCCACAACACAAGTGACTTATTAATTAAAATAAAACATTAAGGAAGCTAAATGTGCTGTGCTCTCCTGGGTGAGTGTTGTGCCCTTAAAGCTTATCTTCAGCAGAGGAAATGGGCCATAAAAGTTGACTTCATTAAACTCCTGGTGTTTTTTTTTTTTTTTTTTTTTTTTGCATTTTTATTTTCTTGACTACAGGAAGTTTATTCAAATGTGTAACATTTTCCAACAGATCATGTGTGAGTGCCGAGTCATGTCTCCTGAGGCTGGGACACACAGCAGTGAGAGGATTTCTGCAGAAATGTGTGTGTGTTCACCTGAGCTTGGCGCATCTGTCCTTCCTCCTCCTGCTGGTGACGTCACATCAGCCAGAGGTTTGTCCTCGCGCTGTTTGAGCCTCTGAAGATCTATCTGCGCGCAGGAGGAGGAGCTGTCAAAGTTTGACTTTCTCGGAGAAGGAGAAACAAGTCTTTACTAACAGAACTACTCGTTTCAAGTCGTTTCAGTCGGAATATCGCGTCTTGTCGACATGGAGTGACTCCTTCTCATCAAGGAGCTTCGAGAAAAAAAGAATAAAAAAAAAAAACCTAAAAGACACGATGGCTGCTCGTTTTCTCCTCTGGATCAGCCTCACCTCTCTGCTCTACTTGGACTGCCGTGTTCAGGCGGAAAAGAAAGGTATGCGAGAGCTGATTTATTTAATTTTTTTGTTCAACATTTACATAAATCTGAGAGAAAATCCCAGGCTGGTCACGAAACCGCAGAGAGGGAAAGAGAAATTTGATCCTGCAGGAGGGAGGAAAAGTTTCTCACAGTCCCGCTGTTCACTCTGACCTGCTTAAAGTCTCAGAATATGACTAGAAAACAAGTTTACTCTGCAGTGAAAGTAGCGGATAATGAGCGTGAATGCTCGCGCATGCGCAATGCAACGGACGTAATAATTGCCAATTAGTTAATTAGACTAATGAGCATCTTGGCTGAGAGGATCCAACCCGTATGGGAGGGGACGTTGATTGAGCAATTTGCTGGTGTAATTCTTCCTTTTTCAAAACTGCTCTTGTGAATTATATTTATAATATATTTAATTCATGAATTAGATTGATTCAAACTGATCTGCGTTTGAGGTATTTTGTTGCTTTTGTTGAAACAGTCTAAAAGTGATTTTATTTTCATAATTTTGTCATATAGCAATGTTGTACCTAGATCGGAGGTTTTACCTTTTGAACATCTTGTTGCATGACATTAGTAGAAACAGCTGTTTTTATTTATCATTTGAGACGGTTAGCTTTAAATACAAGTACATCTTCATCTGTCTTGCAAAAATGAATTTGCAAAAATTGGGGTTGATGAAAGAATGAAATCTTTTATTTGTTTTTAATTTTCTCCCTCTTGCATGTTTGTGTGATCACTGATGTAAAGGTCACTATTTTTCTCTCAATTCTGTTTTTTTTCTCTCTCCTCTTTTCATTTCATTAAATTTTATCTCAGAATACTCTTGAGTTAATGTTTGCCTGAAATTTAAAAACACAGATTTATTCAGAGTTTGTTTGAGGGACTCGGGCCTCCTGAAGCTGCAGATGTCAGGAGAGAAAGTGACCAGTAGCATCACTTTACTCCCTAATGACTGGAACTTCCTTTTCCCTTGGATCATAATTGCGTGCACTGATTGCTGCTCAGCTCTCTTCCTCCAGAAACGGGTGTGTTCAGCAACAGCAGCGCACGTTAAACTTCCTCTGAATGTCAATCACCATTAATGATTCTCTGCAAAAACACAACACATCAGATGTGCTCCTTTGCCAATGGGGGGGGGGTTAAGATATGTGGACCACTGAACAAATCAGATTTTGGGGGAATCGGTCAAAGATACTGATGATTTTTTTCTTTTCTTTTGCATAATTAGTTTTTCCCCTGGTGTACAACTTGATTTCAACAAGATACGTTTTCAGTGATGGGGATGTTGTACATCTTGATAAGTTTGTGTCACAGAACAAAATAATAATTTGTTGTTTAGGCAGTTGAAGCTTGTAGCAGTGTGTTCTGGGGTTTATTCATGGATTTATTCAGAACTTAAGCATCCACATCAGTTTATTGTATAAGTTTGAGCAATTTGTTCATTTTAAATAAACAGACTGTACTTATATAGCACCTTTCTATATTATAAAAATACTCAAAGTACTTTACAACACAACCTGTGTCCTCATTTACCCATTCATACAGCACTCTACTTCTACAAACCTAATTGAACAAATTCTAAAGAGACTAATCAGAGCTTTATCACATTCATGCACCAATGGAACACACATCGGAGGCAATGAGGGGTTCAGTGTCTTGCCCAGGGACACTTCAGCATGTGACTGTTTTTGGAATTGAACCCCCAACTCTTGCATTGGAGGACGACTGCTCTAACCACTCACCCACAGCCGCCCCGCAACCGTTAAAGAAAGTTATACTCTTTACTGTCCTTGTGATTTTTAGTTCAGGTCCATAAATCAACAATACTTTTAAGTGTATTATGGCTGGATTTGAACTTTGTTTCCCAAATAGGCCTTGATAGATTATGTTTAGAAAAGTCATAGCTGTATTATTTTTTTTTTAATGAAAAATGGTCATGATCCATTTGAGCGAGAATGATCCAACAGAATTCCCAAGAAATCAGTGAACTTTGAAGCAGAGGCAGTAAGACGCAAACCGTCAGTATAGTGACAGAAATGTTCAAAATGTGTCCACGCTTTTATTTTCTGTTTGTTTTTGAGCTGTGTTTTTGATGGCTCTTGCAGATGCATGCACAGACACATCTGTTTGCACACTTTTTGCCTTCAGCTTGTGTCACGTATTCACCTGTGAGTGGCTCATAGCGACACAGGTGATTAACAACACATGTCGGGAGGTGGCAAATAGCTGAAACGACACCAAAAGTCTTGGTGTGAGCCATAATCTTACCTTTTACATCTACATCACAGCCTGCACACCTTCCAATATAACAGCCAAATGAGCTTCATGTTGGCAATCTTTCTCAAATTTGGCTACAGGTTTGTGTGTCAGTTGGATGGAAACACCTTTAACATCTTCAGCATGTTGCTGAGCTCTTAAACTGGCTCACAGACCAGCTTCTGTAGACTTTTCTGGCCTGGAAAAAGTGACAAAGATACAAAGCTCCTTTAAGGCCTTAAGGGGAAATTCTTCAAGCATGAAAGCAAAAAAAAAAAAAAAAACCCTCCTTACTCGCAGGTGGTGCTTTATGCCTCAGTTGTCATTAGGACTTGCATGCAATTATTGTCTGATAAATACAACAATTTTTAGACCCTGGCATGATGATTAAACAACATCTCCCTGGTTAGGTGGGGCCCAGATGACTAATTAAAGTTTCAAAAGGTAAAAACTTGCGTCAACCTGTTAGTTTGAAGCTACTCTTTAAAATAGAAAAGATAAAATGGTCAAAGTATGTGTTGATTTTGAAGGTCCGATACACCCACGACAAATCATCAGATATTTTGCGAACAGGCAAAGTAAAATATCTGATGATCTCGTGATTTGGTGTGGGTGTATCTGAGATCACGAGATATTTTGCAAATAGGCAAAGTAAAAAGACAAAAACAAAACAAGTCATTTGGCTCTCAAGGACCATGTTCGGTGTGTTTCTCATCTACTACCACACCAAAGTTGACAGTTATAGCCATTTTTGTGTTTTCTTCAAGGTCAGTTGGTTGTGGCAGCCATCTTGAATGAGGTTGACTCCAAAAGTTGAACAGTTGTAGATGATTACTGCATGAAAGTTTCATTTGAATTCATCAAGTGCATCAGGAAATATCCTAGTGACACACAATTAGATAAAATAACTTTCACCTTTATGGTGGACGACTATTTACATTGGGTTTATGTGCAGTGTGCTATGGCCTAATCTATTCCTGCTTTTAAGAAATAAATTTGACCGTCTCTCTTCCAGCGAAGCCCATCTGTCAGGCCTTTGTTCAGCGACCAGTTTTACTGGGTTCCAAACTCAGCTTGCTGAATAATAGAAAAACATCCAGCTCACTGATCACTTTCTCATCTGTCACCTGTTATGAGGTTGCACAAATTCAATAACCAGTAAGAACTGGAATTATGGTTTATTTTTTCCTGTCAAGTAGCAGATTCGTTTTGTCTTGCTCCTGCCACCAGTAAACCTGTGACGGATCAGATTAATCACAGGAGCCCTTAGTCCCTGATATCAAGCTTGATTCAGGCTGATTATGCTTTTCCGGAATTACTGGGTTGTTCTAGCTCCTGACAGGATGAGATTGAAAATAATGATGAATACAAGTCAAGTTTAGATGTGTTGGTTCTGCATTAAAACTTGCTCGCAGATCTGCTGAAGTCGAGCTGAATCATGACAAAGTTTCACTTCTGCAGCACATTTCTGCATCTCAACTAAGTGTTTTTCCCCGTGTGTTTAGATTTAACAAGCCAGCATCCCTCATCAGTCATGTTTTTTTTTTCTTCCAACTTTCTCAGAAAAACTCATCTTATTTTCATCAAAGCCATCTAGGAGTGATAGTGAAATACTGCTTATTACCCAGTGAAATACTGCTTATGACCCAGTGTAATCTTAGAGGCCAAAGTGGTCCTCCCACTCCTGCTGCTGCAGTAACTCCGTCTTCCTGCTTCTCTGACGATCTTACCAGACCTACATCTGCTGCAGCCATTGGTAGAAATAAAGACTTTTAGGTTAAGGCCGTGGGAGCTGAAGTATAATTTTGGGCCAGCCTTTCTGCAGCTTTGAGAAACTGCACTATGTCTGAATAATTTCAAAGTGCTGCTGGCAAGGTGCAGGATTTGGGTTTCACCTGAAGACAATGGCACCTCTGTGGAGAGCAGGTTATCTGGCAGCACAGATGCTTTCGTAGGGAAGCGGATTATTACCATGAAGCACATCCACTCAAAGCCAGACCTGAGTTTCACCAACAAAGAAACCCAGAAGTGAAGCAGGTGTTGTTGTTCTAAGCTTTTAACTCGTTGTACAATCAATCTATTGTCCATCCTGCTGTGATATGGTAACTATGTGTCTGGTTCTGCCTCAGTAGTTTGGATACCTCCAGCATGGAATAAGTGAGTGAATCAGTGGTTACTGATTGAATCGGTTTGCACCCTTTGTTTTTACGTGGCAACAAAGTCATCCACATCAATTATGGTCTTTCCATGATCATCTGGTTGTATGCAATGGAAAGAGACCCAGGTATTCAGGCTGGAAAAAAGGCTCAGCTGCTATCTTCCATCTCATCGGATGCAGCCTCGTGTTTAAAGGGGAAAAATCCACAGCTCTAACTGTATTGGTTTTAGAACGTCTTACTTGCTAATGAGTGGGTATATTTTTCTAATTTAATTTATATAGCATTTTTAAAGTTAGGATGAAATTATTGCATGTTGTGTCCCATGATTATTTTTCTTAAATCCTATGTTTAGGAACTAATCTTGATAAATCTGTCAAAGTACTTTCTTTTTATTGAACAGTTGCAGCTTTAGTTCAGCTTAGAAGGATAGTCGGGTCATTTGTGAAGTGATATTCTGTTAAACAATACAGTACTCAAACAACAATCATGGAGTATGGAAAAAGGGAAATGTCTGCAGGTCATGCCAGTATCTTTCTTAAAAAATATGGATTCATGGTATGACAACAAAGTCCATGCTCAATAATCCAGGTA